CGCCTTTCACTGAGCATTGGATTAGACCACGGGTTACCATATTTGTCGGTATTGCCACGCTGGGAGGTCAAGAAGAATCAAGAGGCCAGTAGCCGAATATGCATTGACATTTGATATGCATAACCAGGATCCTATTGATTACAAAAATGTATTAATAAAATTGATAACTAATGTTTTACGGATAAAATGTTAATGTAACATAGTAAGGAAGAAATGAAATACAATAAACATAAGAGGAAAATACAATAAAATTACTTAACATACATTAAAAATAAAAAATGTGTTTTTAATATTTAAATTTATTTAGTAAGTGCAATATAAAACGTAAAACCGCAAGAACAAAGAAAACATAACAAAACAAAGGACACAAAGAACGCAAACTAGAATGAAAAATTAGAAACAGGTTGAAGATATATGGACGAGGTGATTTAAAAATTACACTAAGTATATTTATGCCAAATATTTTTAAAAATTACATCAGTACAATAAATGCAGCCATGACATTAACTACAGTCGAACTTGTTTGCACTCAGAGTCTATAAACAATAATTAAACATAAATTTAATAAACCATTTTTCGAAACGTTTACTAATATTTTCAATCTAATTGCTATCGTAAAGATATTTATGTGCAGTGATTTATATTATCATTATGGTGCGTACTGTATATTATAAAGAAAATACCTGATGCGCACACCACATGGCTTCCTTGTACGGAATATTAAATTATAGGCATTTTGTCCTGCAATTTATTTAAACTTATTTTCTCGTATTTAATTAGAGATACATTTCATATTCAGTTAATTCAGGTCTCATTTTGCGACAAGGTAAAAATACATAAAAACTCAAAATACCTATATTAAAAATTGAAATATATAAAAGCATAAAACACCAAATACAGTTAAAACAATTTTAAAAGAAATTAAATTTAAATTACAGTTTCTACGCTAAAGCAAGTAATTCGGACAGCGGGCCAGAAGGTCAATTTTTCGGTGAATAAAATCGAAAGTTTACTTTTGGTTTCCTTTACATAATATAAATAATAAATAAATGTAAAAATGGTTCCCAACGAATATCAACATTTCGTGATAGTCGCGAAAGGATTCTATGCTTGTTGAATTATAAGCTGTTGAAAATTTTGTTCGTAGCAGTTGAAAAACGAAAATTATATTTATTTTTCTTAAAAACAAACATATTTAATACTTTTTTTTCTTTTTTCGGTTATTGTCATTAACCTAAAACTTTTATCAGATTTATATGAAAACGCGGTATTAAACTTTTCTGAGTAACAACTTCAAAGTACAAAGAAAACCTCCAAAATGTGTCTTATACAGAAATAGAATCTTACTCTGACTTGTTCATTCGAGGCTAGAAAAGGCTGTCAGGTTATTATTCCTAAGCATATAAGGTATTAATCAGTTTAACCAGTGTGTCTAATGTGTCAAAATGCTTTCTTAAATGAATCTACGAAGCCTTCCAGAATCCCAGAGCATCTGTGGAAAGTTTAGTCGAATAAAAAGCATAACGATTTACTTTATTTTCAAAGATACAAACATAAGTTTGTAAAATAGCACACTCTAACAAATATATTTTAACAGAATGAAAACTAGATGAAGATGGATAGCGAGCATCTTATATTTCTTTGCTTATTGCAAGATCACGATGCTTATTGACGAAAACTCTACGTAACCTTTTAAACATGTCTAATTTTCCAACACAAGTTGATAGGAAGATAAAAATGTTGCATTAAAAGCAAACTTTATAAACTCGGAAGTCCAGATCGGGCTTGGAAGCCATCAGAAACGAAGAGCCTAACAACAGCATAGGCCTTGGCAGCTATCAGGAACGAACATACTAACATCACCATCGGCCTAGAATGAACACCGGTAATTTTCATTTTTTGCCTCCTCTCTTTTTCCTATTTGATCTGAGTTCACACACTGAAATGTTTGCCTACCCCTTATCTAAACCTCCTTTACTGTTCTCCAAAGAAACTTTTTATATGAAGAAGCAGTTATGAGTTTTCTTTTATTTCTTTAAAATTTTATTCTAAGTCGTTAAGTTACATTATGCTTGTAAATAACAGAAACATTACATTTATACTAATCGGGCATACTAATTTATGCTAATGATTCATCTAATAAGGCGAGAGTTTAATTTAGCTGTTACTCTTTCAAGAGTAAGGTAATATGATTGCTAAGCAATGGAGCTGATAGAAGTACTAAAAACAATGTGTTTCCTATGTAACGTTCTGAATCAAATTGACGTTAAGTAAAAATATTGAATTATGGAAGTATTCCACTGTAGCAGAGAATTAGGAAAACAAAATATATTTGATGCTAAGAAAATAAAAAAAAGGATTTAACTTATATGTGATATGTGTTTCTTTATTTTCAGTTATAAAACTTATTATTTATTTAAACTATCATAAATGATTCTTAATTTCAATGCAGATACGAAGAGCAACGTCTTACACTATCAATGAAATTATGCTTGAGAGTATGAAGAAAAGTTACTTATAAAAATGAATGAAGATGAGCATGAATTAAACTAAAGAATAATTTAAAAATTAAGATTTTTATTAAATATTTATAATTTAAATAATAACAACTGTTCATGTATGTTTTCTGTTAGTATGTGAAAGAAGATTTTCTGGAAAACATTTATAACTTTATTTTTCCTTATGAAAACATACTGAATTAAAGTTTCGAAATTTACCGCTAGAAATAATTTGTTTAGCAACGTCGACTATTTGTGTCACTGTTTGGAATGACATTAGGTTAAATGATGTTAGGGAAAATGCTCATAAAAACTTCGAATTTTAGAATAGTTCTAAAAGGCAATTTAGGTTCTCTGCACTTTTATTCGCACATTTTTCAAAACTGCTATTCAAGCTGCATAAAAGTAACTTCCTTGAAAACTCATTTGTCAATGTCAGTAGTTTGAAGTGTAGAACAAAGACCAGAGGCGGTCGAGCAAAGAAATGTTCCTGGATATAAACTTGAGTTCTTGACAACTGCGCTCAGAAAATTGCTGTACAGAAATACTTGACTTGAACTGAACAACAACATTTATTTTGGGTAAAAATTTTGCTGCTTTTAAGAATCTTTCTTTAATTCAATTTTTTAAGCTTTACAAAGCTACTGTATTATTTTGACTGAAGAATAAATAATTCCGAGGAAATTTATTCTGCTTATGACATATTTGAGTACATTCTTTTTGTAATATTATACGATTACTTTTTAACAGGAAAAATAACTATTTGTTAGCAAAATTCTCAATTCATTTTTAAAACGAGAAGCTGGTTCTATGCGAATTATATGAAAAGGATTTAGTAGAAGGAAAATTTGAAGAATATAGAAATATAACTAGCTTTTACGAAACAGTAAATTTTGCACAATCCGGTCATTAAGTTATACCGATGTGGGAACGGGAAAAACATGGAATGCTCTCTCCTGGATTCGAATTCTGGACCTCTCGAATAAGCGTCAGTGTGCTTCCGGTTACACTGCAAAGGTGTGGCGAAAGGAGGGAAATATGTTCCCCCTTTAAAAGGCGACTGGAAATTAGAAAACCCAATGGCCGAATCCTGGTGTCGAATTATCGTGCACTACTCCTATTTAGTTCGGGTGCCACTTATAGGTACTTTAAGAATTTTAGGAAACTGAAGAAATTCACAGTGATCTCGCCGGGTTTCTAACCCCAAACCTCTGGAATACACGTCGAGTGTGCTTCCAGTTACAGCATGAAAGCATGCTGAAACAACGAAGAAAATACCTTACATACTTCCCTTTTCAAAGCACGACTGAAGATTAGGGACCCAGTTGCCAAATCCTGGTGATGATGAATTATCGTTCACCACCTTTTTGAGTTTGGAAGCCACTTGCAGAGTCATTTTTTAGATAATTTGATTCGAAGTCAGACCCTAGCTGCGATTTTTAACATCGGATCTCTCGAATATACGGCGAGAGTGCTTCCAGTTAGAGCACGAAGGCAAACGGAAAAGGAGGAAATACCTTATAGGTATGTATGTGTTAGAACTTGAGAGATTTTAGTAGTATTACAAAAATAACTTTCCCAGAAACAAGAAGTAGTATTTTTTGTGTTCTAGAATTCATTCCGCATATGAAATTATACATGATACTCTTACAGTCGTGTAAAAATTTAACCGCTAAAGAACAACCAATTTTACATTTATTATCATTTTGCTTGAAAATTTGCTGCGGATTTAAAAAAATGGATATCACATACTTAACTGGAGGTTATAGATTAACAAAATTTATTAAAACAAAGTAAAATACTTCAGTTCGGAAAGTATACTTTCTATGCATTAGATATTTAAAATAACTACGGAATAAAATGTACTTAAAGAGTTCAAAACCTAATGTGAATTAAAAATCTCTATTATTACAAAAAAATACTCAAATAAATTAAAGTATGAAATTCTTAACAAATCAATCATCATTGCTTCAAAAAACGAAATATATTATGCTACTTACATAATAACCCATAATATTTTTAAAAGTTTGTTGTATACGCAGAATTACCAGATAATTACCCCAGTATTTTTAGACTAAGTGTTTATATTATATATATATATAGAGAGAGAGAGAGATAAATAGACTAAACGTGCATGCAAGTCATTGACGAGTAATTTCATTCTTAACAGCGTCGCATATCACTCTCCGGCAATGCAGCACGTCACTGGGCCTGTAGAAGATAACTCCTCAAAGAAGTACTACTCAGTAAATGATGCAGTAATTCCGCAACCACACCTTTAGGACTAAGAAATGCAATTGAAGATCTAGGACCCAAACGTAGATTTTTGAAACCCAAATACGGTATCTGTAAGTCTTCCCTGAATCGCTACCAATTAAACACGTAATTCTTCGTCAGTAATGATGTATCTTGTCTACCACTCCATGAAGTTTTGATACGTTGGGACTTGTTGGCCCTAATTAACTAACACAATTTTTTTATGCAAACACTGTAATGTGTTACAGCAAGAGCTTGACCTGCCACCTATTCGATAGCTACATTGTCTGAGATCAGACCTAAATGTTGTGTTATCTTTTGTCACGTAGTGTAGATCCTGATACACCGGTGCATCAGAATTGTGGTATGGAGGTCCAAAGCGCACAGTGACTATCTAAATTGAACAAAGATTTAAATTAGAAAATTAACAACGCTTCTCATATTTAACGACTCACCTATACTCTCGTCACCTATACTGAATGTAACTGTTAGTGGTTTTTGCACTGTCTTATTAACTTGAGTAATCACTATATAAATGTTAATCGCGTTAAAGTTATATTTCTAGATTTGTGAAGATTTTTAAAACTTTATTAGCAAGAATATCCGGTTCTCTTGGAGATGCTGAAGTAAAACAAGACGAAAGATATCTAATCAAAATGACTGGTAAGAATTATTTTATGGAGACATCTAACAACTCATGCAGTTTAGGTAACACAAAATTAATTTTTGTAAAAAATATTTTCTCAAAAGATCGTAAATTTAGTGTACTTGTACTGTGCAGTATATTAATTTTACGTATAATTATTTTAATTTGTTAGCGTTCCGTATCCCATCTAATTTCTCTCGCGTTTCCTTGTCAGGGTGTAAATTAGTTATGGTGAACGAGAGAGTATTTAAAGAATTTAAGCAGAAGTAGCCAAAAGGTTAGTCAGAGCGTATGGTTTCGCTATTGATAGAACATGTTGCTAATTCTACCAGCTGTTAAACTTTGAATCTCGGCTTCCACTCTTCCCGCGGAAATACATTCGCATTCTTCCCGCCGGGTTGACTCAGGAACCTACAAATCTCCCCTTTGTAGGTGCCTGAGTCACCCCGCTAGGTTAAATCGAATTGTGTATTCTTGTACTACTATTTACCTTTGAATTTAGTTTGCTACATTATCTTTGAAGTTTCTCACCGTAAGTGGTTGGTGACTGTGTAAGCTCGTAAGTCCGTGCCGTCTGTAGACTATTGTGTTCAATAAAAGGGTCTTTTACATCCTTGCCCTGCTGTAGTCATATTCGAATCTTTGCGAAAAGTAGCAAAAAATTTGCAAAAAATTGCCCTGCATTATATATATAAGTGGAAGTTAATACTTTTATATTATTCATTTGTGAATGATTATCTTGTGTCATACTTTATTGTTAAAGTGCTATTTTTGAAAAGCGTGATTCTGAAATGTGGTTTAATTTGCGAATAATTTGAGAAACGTTCCTAACATTGACTGAAATTTTGCAAACCTTTCAAATTTGAGTTTCGATTGTGCAAACTCGATCATTAGCAGGGCTTCTGAGCTATTATGAGTGGTACGAAAAATGATCACCAGTGTGCAGGTTTGTGTTTATATGAAAATGTGAGAAGTATAAAATAAGAGTCTCAATATATTGAGAGTGATGTCTCAATATATTGATCGTGCCATTTTTGTGTCAGAAAACCAAACACAGTATATATCTTCATTAAGCTTTGATTTTAATCGATGTATAGAATAATTTCGTTTAAGAAGATCATTTGAGTCTTTTTGTTGGGAATATCAGCCTAACTCTAATATGTAGTTTAGCATGACCTTAGTTGATAAAATTTCAATAAATTAAATACAGTAGAATAATGGCTGTAAGCGAAAATCCTATGCATTTTATAAACCTAATAAAATATACAAGAGACAAATTTACTGCAAGTACTTTTCATAAAGGAATTTTTAGCTGTGTTTGTTTCATTTAAGATAGACTGAAATCGATTCGATAAAAAGCTTATACGTTTTTGCTTTAGAATTTAGAAGAGATACGATAATTTGGTTTATTTGCTTACAGCAAATAATAGAAGACTAGTTGCCTAAGACAAAATATGTCTCCATTGAAAACTTTCTAAGGACAACTAGCAAATATTCACGCAACATATAGGGAAAGCTTTGAAAACCGCTATGTAGCTAGTCCATTCGGCTATAATTGAGACAAATACGAAATCTGAGTTACTGGTAAACTACATTTAGGAAAGTCTTTCCGACTGAAAATACACTCATGTCCATAAATTAAGGATAATTGGGAGTCACCCGGAAATCGAACTCCAAAATTAATATATCACCTGTAAAATCACTACACACATTTTCATGAATCATATGCAAATTTCAGGAAGTAACCAGATCACACCGATGGTACGTCACAATGACGTGAGTGTAAGAGAGTGATATATAAGGAATACAGGCAAAGAAGTAAAATTGTTCGCAGGCGCTTTATAAGCATTTCAGTGCAATAACCGAATAGTTATGACACAAAAGACGCATTTGGATGATTTTTTACGTAGTAGAATTATCGGCTGTCTGGAATGTGGGCATACCCAACTGGAAGTATCAGATGAACTTGGAATTGCCCAGAGTGTCATCTCCAGACTTTGGCAACGATTCCAAGATGATGGTAATGTGAGTAGACGTTACAGCACAGGTCGCCCCAGAGTTACAACGCCGAATGAGGACCGGTATTTGGCAGTTACTGCCAAAAGAAACAGGCGGAGCACACCCTTAGACCTGTCTCGTCAGCTGTCTTCAGCCACTGGTATGACAATTTCAAGGCAGACCGTGTACAGACGCTTAGGCGAGATTGGTCTATATGCTCGTAGATCTGTCAGATGCGTTCCGCTTACTGCAACTCACTGTCGCCTGCGGTTAGCCTGGAGTAGAGAGCATGCATTGTGGACACCGCAACAGTGGGCTTGTGTGATGTTTTCCGATGAGTCCAGGTTTACCTTGCAGTCTGATTCTCGCCGGACTTTCATATGGAGAGCTCCAGGTACCCGTTACCACCAAGAAAACATCATTGAACGACACCGTTACGGTGGTGCAGGAGTGCTCGTTTGGGGTGGAATTATTCTGGGTTCCAGAACTGACCTGCATGTTCAAATTGGAACCATGACAAAACAAATCTATCGGGACGTTGTTCTGGAACAATATGTAAGTTTGTTTCGGGGCCTCATGGGCGCACAATTTGCGTTTATGGATAACAACGTCCGTCCTCACCATGGAAACATCGTAAGCGAATGCCTTCAATTGGAGGATATCACCCGTATGGTCTGCCCAGCATTCTCACCGGACTTGAATCCAGTAGAGCACGTGTGGGTCATGCTTGGCCGACGAGTTGCAACCCGTCAACCTCCTCCTACATGTCTACCCGGAACTTCGGAGAGCATTGCTTTTTGAGTGGTGTAATATCCCCCAAGATCAGATCGGTAATTTGATACTCAGCATGCCTAGGCGTTGTACGGACTGTATTGCATCGTCTGGGAGACATACAATGTATTAAAAATCATACCAACCATGTAATATTGGTTTTTTGTAAATAGATTTTTTTTTGTAATTTGTCCAGGGAGAAGAAATCGCTAATTTTTTTTAATAATATCAAGCATATAGCATCTTTTTTTTGCTCTTTACCTTTTGTTTAATAAATAAGCTTTACCAAATAAGTCAAATTTGTTTTGCTTGTAACTCTTCCTTTGTCTGATTTTGCATTATCTTTAATTTATGGACATGAGTGTAAATTTGGTTCGTATTCAATATGTGGAAGAACAAAATACTGTAAAGGCAAAAAATGCAGTAAGGTTTTTGATCGACAGTTTCGCTCCGCACTCAATTCCTTAGGTTCATTTCACTTAACCCCTTTTTCAATAATCTGCGTGCATGCAAGGACAAATGCAAAAATTTCCTGCCGGTTAATTAATTTTATTCAGGAATTCAGTAAGGAATTTCGTTCAGGAACAGTCAAAATTAGTCATCATTTTATCATTTTATATATTATTTTTATAATAGATGCGATGAAAAAGAAACGAATTTAATTTCATCTGAGCAATTTATCTAGGGTTCTAGGGATATAATTAGACACAGACGGAACTGGAATAATAAATAAACAGGAAATTTCTCAATTAGTTGCTGATGCTTAAATCAAAATAACATAACAGCACCTGATTTCGTTGAGAGCTATAAGTTTCTTTTATTTTTTTTTTAATATATAAATGGCTGCCATGATGATGCATTTTATTTTAGTATTCAGAGTCAATCCAGCATGAAGAACTTAGCGTCTAAAAAGGTTTAAATGGTGGTAATACGAAATTTCACGAATAACATTTCAGCACGAGTAATTTAATTTTCCGAATTTTTCCAATGCGTAGTAAATAAAATGTTTCTTTGTCGGAACGCAGTCACGTGTTAGTTAACTTAGCTTCAAAGCGGAATCCTTTCGCTGTTCTAAAATTCAATCTAAGACCTGCTGAAGGAATAGAAAAACTCGTCTGAAACTCTTTGAGTAAAGGCAAAATATTGTAACTATGACAACTTCTAGAATAAATGCAATGAGAGGCAAGTCTGATATTTAAAATAGTTAGGAGTATGGTTTAGTATTCTATAAAGAAAACGAAAGAAATTCCAAATTTTTAAGTTCAGAATTTGTATTTTGACAAAAACTTTTCCCACTTTTCTATCTGAAATTTTCTGCTATGTTTTGCTTGAATCCAAGGCTTGGAAAATAATATTGTTCAGTAAAATCTGCTATATAACATTTGCGCTATTTCACGTCTAACCATATTCATCATCTGATGTAACGTAAATTCAAATGATTAAATTCTTCTTCATTCTTGATGAAATTCGTCTTTTTATACATTCAGGTTGAATTGGATTGATCTCGGAGGAACTGGTGTAATTCATCTACTGTAAAACTAAAGTAATTTGTTTTGCTAAACTATCTTTAACGTCTGTTTACAGTGCTTTATTTTGCTTGTTTGTCTATTTATTTTGATAAGACATCCAAACTAAGAGAAAACATTCTCACAGTATTTAAAAAAATTTTGAGTTGAAGATTTTATATTGTAGTGGCATTACTACGTTAACGTCCATTAAATTTATAATAAAATTTCTGATATGAACGTTTCTACCCATACTGTTTAGAGATAAATCTAACAAAAAATAACAGTTCATATTGGTACAATTTCCTAAATTACAATAAATATAAGAAGAAGAATGTTGTATTAGAATTTATGACCAAATATATTCGAAGATAAATATATTCTTTTTTTCAGCTTGCTTTATCTTATGAATACTTTCATTAAGCTATAAGGCAATTACTTAAAAGTTCCATACGTACTTATTTCAGTTACTAG